GGAAAAATGGCAATTTCATCTCTTACTTCATAAACATGTTGCAAAAATTTCCCATATGATACCTATCTTGCCTTGTAATAAAATAGCAACCATGAATGCACTGCACCCATTTTTTACAAAGTACAGAGAAGATTCTTTAGGGGTTTCATTTTATATAATTTACTGCAGTCACAACTGTTGTTATCGCAGTATTCAGACCAGAACTCATTCCTTTGGGAGCCAGAGCTTCTCTGTGGATCATGCAGTGTGTCGAGATGCACAGTAGAGACTTTTGTATACAAATACCTGTATACTTTGAAATCTTTCATATATTTTATGAGCACTGTCGGTGTATATTCTAATGCAATTTTTCCACTCTATGTTTGCCTGAGTGGTTTACAAAAATGTAGTAGTTCTGCAGCTGACATACCATCACAAAATCAAACATATGCATGCAATGAAATGAGCATCTTTATTACTATCTGTCGCATTATCAAACTGAATTGAAAACAGTTTGTCATGCAACTTCCCCAAAAGTTGCTGCTGTGCATCTTCAGCTGTATCATCGATTCGACGGGCAACAGCATCATCTGCTAGACGTATGGACTACAACTGTTTAGCAAAATTATTTCCAAACATATTTTCTATGATTTCAATTGCAGCTGGCAAAATAAACTCTTCGCCAGTGGTGTCAGGCCTTTTGCATTTGGCTATTTTAGAAGAAGCTTTGTAAGAAGCAAGTAAAGTTTTTTATTTGCAGACAAGATTTAAAAAAAAAAATTTTTTTTTGGCTCTTCATATGATTTTAATTTTAATTCAAATGTACTCACCATGAAGTGTTTCCAAATGTCATTTAAGTTTATTAGGTTTCAAACCGTTTGCTGCCAATATTTTTGAGCAAATACTACGCGGGGCCTTTCTTCTTCATTTACTTCAGTAGTAGTAAACCGAAAATTTAATTACTCTGGAGGATATTTTCTTGATTTAATTTTCAGAACAAAGCTTCTCTATGCACTTGTTTATGCTTTATTATCGTCTAATGTTATCTTATGACTTACAAATTTATCCATGATTCTGTTTAATCTACCATAAATCTAGTGCCATAAATATTTAATCCTGTGAAGTGCAATTAACATGTGAATTACAAAATACACATTCAAGATAGATTCAGTAACAATAGAAGGATTGACTTCAACCGAGACTGGAATTACTGTGATATAATGTATTATACTGGGTTTTTATTGCCGGAGCAATAATTCCCAGTCATGCAAAGAGTTCCATGCATTGCCTGGCAAATGAAGAGTCCTGAGTGAGTTTCTTCTGAGGGGAGAAATAAGAGGGAGAGAAATTAAAATAGACCGAAGTCTACATCATGCCTGGAAATAGATGTCGTGGGGCGAGTAGTAATCCATTAAAGTTCGTGTATGTCATGTAACACCGGCTTCTTAATCTTCAGATTCAGCAAGTTTCATGAGTGTCATTGCCACCGCGTTAAAACCGGCAAGTAACTTCTCTGCTGTCGTCTTTGCTTTTCTTATTTTTTCTACGTGTGAAATGATGGTTGTCAAGTAACTGTTGACTTGTCTGTCTCTTAACCAATTCAGAGCTTCACTTTGCACTTCTGGGAGGAGGCTTGAGTTTTCTCTTCAATTTGTCACTGTAGAGGGATGTTTCGGCCATTTTCTGCTTTTCTCCTTCTACCTCCTTTATGAATATTGGAAAATCTGCATCTGTTGGTGGTGGGATTGACTTCTTGGGAGGGGTATTTTTCCTTTCAAATTTTTTACGGTACGGTACTCCTTACATCCACGATAACTGGATAAATACTTTTCTTGACAGAAAATGCTGGTGGGGGTTTCTTCAGGTTTTAATCGCACTTATTACTTCTATGGTTTGCATTCCGTAGATTGTTGCACAAATGCTGTGAGTGAGCCCACTTCTGGCAGCGAGAGCACTGAGTCGGGCTTTTCTTCGGAGCAAAATTTTCGATACGAACATTCACGCTGAATATATTGTTCAAACTATGGATAGCGTGACCAGCTTTGTTTTTCTTCAATTCTAGCAGGTAGATTCCCAGTTTTTCAAAATTGTTCCTTTTACTTCTTTGAAACTGCTTTACTTTCTCGATAGGAAATTTACGTCTTTTGCCTTAAAAATTGCTTCTTCCATAACATGGCTTGGGAGATTTTTCAGCACCACCCGGATGGGTTTCTCACAGTTCAATTGGAAGGTGTGAAAGGGGATACCTTTCTTCTGTAAAACAGACATGGTGTTTTGGTAGTCCATTAGATTTTTAACTTTAACAAATATAGTTTTACTTTTCATATCTGCTTCAAATTCTTCCAAACAGGTTGAATGCAAAATTTCTTCGATTTTCAACCAATTAATAGCTGCTCTTTGGAATACAATAGGTGGGGCGTTTCCTTCTGCGGGGCCACTCCCTCTGACTTCTCCTCGCTCTGCTGCTCTAGGTTCTTGATATTTTCTCCACTTATTTCCCTAACCAGACTATCAAAACGGTTTTTCTTTACAATTTCCATCGGCTCCACTTCTTGAGTTACTTTAGCCATCTTGTTTGCGAAATCAAAGGACCATCTTTTTCTACATCAACAAGATTCTCTGTGGCCTTCTGGGCTGCCATTCTTTTCTCTTTTTCTAACATCAGCTCGCTGACATATCCTGCACCTTGATCTTTGAATAAGCTTAACAGTTGCTCTAACTTCTTTTCCTCCTCGTTGCATTTTTCGGCTTCGTTTTCTCAAAGTCCGATTCAGTCGCTGTTTTAAGCTTCTTCTTTTTGCTCTTCTTTTTAGGAGACTTGAGGAAATCATCTTTCTTTAGCGGGAATCGCAGCGATCTTGTTGAGCTCAGCGTTCGGTCAGATTCTAAATCATCATCAGAAGATTCACACGGCATCCTAAATAAGGACATTTTAATTACCCTAAGGTAATGCACTGAGCTAATTGCATACAGTAACACCAAAAATTCGCACTAACAAATCAAGACTAACGAATATCCTCTCTGTCCGCCTACGAGACTGGGACACAGTTCCAAAATCTTAAGCATAACCACAACACAACCTACTAGCTCGCAGTCACAGCTCATGTCGAGACTGGAATTGAACGAGGTGCAGCATTTATATATGTTTTGTGTAGATGTCTGTGAGAATGCTGGATGTGATGGATATAAGATAGAGAGCAACAGAGACTATACAATTCTTCTGACATTTGTACTTTTAGAAATGGAAGATTGATATCCTATTACTTAAAAGCAACATATACAAAATTTAATACTTATCCTGATAATTTTTACAGTTTATAATTAAGGTCATATTGTAGGTTTAGCATCAAAGTACATTATTATTGCATTCAATACATTGTTATTGTATGGGATGGCATGATGAAAATTATCATTGAAAATTGGGTCGTAAATATTGAAAGCTTGAGAAGCACTAAATTAGAGTTAACAAAAAAGGAGGGAGGGGCATATTTTATTTAGAAATCTAAATAGGAAATTACATCTTTTTCTTTTGAAGGGGGCATTAATTATACTTGCAGAATGTTATATTTGCATTTGTGTGTTACATAATATGACATCAAAATGTGTGACAAAAATGCTTAGTGATTATTTTCTAGCAATGTTGCACAGATGTGAACTTCACTCATGCACAGATGAGTAAACAAAATGAGCATGAACCACTGACTTTTAATTTTTTTCTCTTTCATGCTTTGGTTCATGCTGTATGCTACATCCTTACGTTATGTATGAACATTTTGCCTTGATGATGATTATATTTTGTAAGATCATCAAAAAATGCTGGACAGATCTGAAAAATGTCTCGTGGACTTTCTTTGAAAGAAGACAGTGTCTCCCAAAAAGAGGCTGGATTACAAGTCTGTGAGCATATGAGCTATGAGTCTAAAAGAATGGATTTATATTGCTGAGTGGCTGCTGTAATAAAATTGTAGTTAACCTGCAGGAAGGCATGTACTTTAAAGTTGTTTCAGCAGTCGCATGGAGTGTTACACTTGAGTGGTTGTGTGCTTATTGCATATTTAAAACAAAATGCTTGTTATCTGTGTGCAGTTTGAACAAAGTAATTCATATGTTCTATATTATCTGCTAGCATATTATTTCTCTGGCAGTGCAACTTTTGAAACAGAAATCAAGTTAATGATTATACTTTGTAGCAGGAATATTACACTTAGAAGGCTTACAGACCCTTAGATTGATGCAGAATTCTAAATTGATAATTATTCCAAGTTTCATTGTTAAATATTTGTTTAATGCAAAACTTTTTTTCCCTTTTTAAGTCAATTATGCTGTGGGTTTTTTTTTTTTTTTTTTATTTATTTAAAGGTTTGCCGAGAACAATTATTTCATTTTGTTATATTGTGTTGATTCAATACAAACATTTTTTCACTTTTCAAATTGTTGCCACCAAATATTATCACCCTGTATTATATTTAAAGAAATTAAATAATGCAGAATCTTCTTAAATGTATGTATGTTTCTTGCATTGTGATAAAACAATGCAACCTAGAGCTATCAAATTTTGAATAATGTAATCCCCCCTGCGATTATGGGTATCTCCTTCGAATATGGGCAAATTTGAAAATTGGAATTTCTTTTACTATCGATTTCATATTTTGTAAAAAGTTAACGAACAAACACATGGATTTCAAAGCGAGCAATGGCAACATTGTACAGGAAAAAAAAATTTTTATCTCCAGCACATGAGACTGTATATTTTAAATTCTGAAGATATGCTTATTTTAAAATTATTTTGCAGTATCGCTTTTGAACTGAATTTTATGGTTTAAGTGCGAAGAATATGATATTTAATAAATAAAGGTAATTTAAAATCTGAAACCTTTCAAATTTTTTTTATGCCTGAATTGCTTTAAAATGATATTATATTCATGTATATTTTAAAATGTTAAAGTTCATCTTTATTGCCCATGAAATCACTCTTCATTAATGCTTTTTTTTTTTTTCTTTTTTTTCCCTCCCCTGTATAGGTTTCTCCAGAATTAAAGTTGCCAGCCATGTATTTAGTGGATTCCATCATTAAAAATATTGGTGGACTTTACATTCCTCTTTTTTGCAATCATTTGATTGTACTTTTCTCTTCTGTTTTTGAAAAGGTTTGAAATAAGCTTTTACATAATTTAATCTTTAATTGTGTTTTTGATGCATTAAGTATTAAATACAGCACATGCATTTTTCTGTATGTGTAAATATATAAGGGTAAACATTTGTCACATTGAGAATGAACGTCATGTAACAAGGAACATATATTTGGTACATATACTATATTTATTTGCTTAATTAAATTAGTTACATAACAAAATGTTAATTCACCAAAATTAGATGCCATGAAAGATATTCGAAAAAGAAGAAATGATTAGGATGTGAATATTTGACGGAAATTACTTTTGAATAAGAAAGGTAATGCCATTTATTTCTGAAAATGCATGGAGCTTTTTTATTTTAAAACAAAGCCTAACAAAGTTGAAAGTCAGCTGTTTAAAGGCTTAAGAGCTTTTTTTGTGATTGAAATATCATTCTAAGGAATAGAAGATTATGAGATCAAAGAGTAAAAGTAATATCTATATAAATCAAAGAGTATAATAAATAGTTAGGTAATAAGTGCTGTTTAAATACAGCTGTATATAAGCAGATACAAAATGCTGTGCCATTCAGAACTTTAATAATTTGACCATGCCTGTAAAAAAAAACATGGAAATAGATTAGGAGGTGTGTTATAACTAGGCCTTTAACAGTGGTAGTTATTTTAAAAGTAAAGTGAATCTCTGAATTAGAAAAATTGGTACTTAACATATTATTGTACCACTTTAGTAAAAGTCACCAGATTTTTAGGATGTGCCAAAATCTGGCTATCATGCTTGTAACAGGCCTTCAGCAACATTGACTTTTTTTTTTTTGGTATGCATTCTTTTTGTTATATTCCAGGTTCTGATGATTTTTTGTAGACAGATTATGATATTTTTTGCCTTAAACTCAGCTTTAAAATATGTGCCTTTGGAATTTGCAAGCAACGGAAAGAAACTGCAGTAAAATTCTTGTAGAAATGCAGTATTTTGCCACAAAACTGTGTAGTGGAATAATGACAAGATGAATTTGATAGGTAGCCTGTGTATGAGTTGAGTTTTGCTGTTCTATGATTTTTTTTTAAATGAAAACCCATAGGAATATAAGAAGAATTCTAGAACATTGCGATTTCGCAAAAATGTGTTTTATTTTTTCTGTATCGCGTAATCCGTACTTAATAATTCAAATTTTTATTTTAAGTTGCTAAAATGTTTTTCTTTTGATATGTTGAGGATGTTTGCTGATTGTGTTAAATATCGATAGTTTCTGAAACTTTAAAGAAAAGTCATACTAATTTGCACTTCATAAGTAACTTTTCAGCTGTAAAAATCACCATATTGCACCAGACTGGTTGCATTAATGTAAGTACTGCAACATTTTAGTTTGAGAGATTAATTTCTGAATTTCAGTTTGAAAGAAACAAAATTCTTAATAATTTAGATTCAAGACATTTTAGCACTGCATCAAATAGAACATTAGAAAAAGTAATTTAATATTGAAAGGAATCTTGAAGTATTATGAACTTATTTACGAATCCAAATGAATTTGTGTTAGTGTTGCTGGAAAGTTATGAATATATTCTGGTAATCAAATATTTGGTTAAAGGTTATGATGTAATTCATAAATTAGAAATAATATAAAGAAAGGGAAAGCCATTTTTGCAAACTTTGGAAAAGGCTTAAAAATCTAGCATAATTTGCATTACATGAAATTAGCAGTTTTTAAAAAAATATTTGGGAAGATGTTTTAAATTTAGAAAATATCAGAAGCTGAAGTATTTTCAGGAATCTGGCAATGTGAACTTAAGATTTTCTCAGATTTATCCACATTTTGGCTGTAAGATTTGATGAAATTTATCATCTTTAGAAATAATATTTGAATTAGAGGGAATTTTATGAAAAGCCTGTTACACCTTTTTAATTAAGATTAGTATTGAATCATTCATTATCCTTGTTAGTATTGTAGTGATGGTTTGTTTTGTATTTCTAAACATTTTTGTTAATTTTTAGTGAAAAGACTAATCATTTTGGAAACAGTGGGTGTAAATATTAGTGAAAATTATATTTCAGTAATGCCCTGAGATAGAAATACAATGGAACTTTATGTCAGAAATGCCTCACTTCACAGACGAATTATCTGGACCAAAAACTTTGGTGATGAATAATGTCTCGAGTTATGAATACTGAAGTTGGCTGCATGATTTTCAAAAGTTTTTGAAGTTGCCTATGCCACATCTGAAATATCATTTTAATATTTTTGTTTGCTTAGCTTTCATCAGCAAAGCCTGCCAGCAAATAATTTGCATGACCATGACTTCGGCTCTTAGAAAATTATGGCAAGATTGAGTTCTAGATAGAAAGTTTGACTAGCTTTAGATTGAAAGTTAAGACAATTTTGTTTTCTAAAAGCAAAACATGATGTAAAAAAATTGATTATAAAGACATGGAGAAATATATAAGTGAGCCCAACAAAAAAGAAGTGAAAAAGTTTTAGAAGCAGCAATAAAAGTCAAGTGTGCAAGAACTGTCTTTAAAAGAAGAGCAAGAGAAAAAAAAAAAAAATCTTAAGTCTCTGATCTGTGAAATTTGTGCAAAATGGGACAAAATGCAAAGTAATAATATCACTGATAAAGCAGTAGTCAGCTATAGCATATTTTAGAAGTATTTTAAAATTTAGGAAAGACAAAATTTTTGGAATTTAGTAGAGCACTGAGTGGCAAAATTAAGGGATGAAAATTTGTTTATAATTTAGGGAAAGCACTGGTATCCAAAGTTTAGGGCAGCAAAAATTTAGAACTTAGGGAGGCATTTTGCAACAGAATTTAGGACCTCCAGAGATTGCATCAGACGGTAAGATAGCTAGCGTCGGCCCTCGATAAGCCTTAAGTATGTATGGTAGTTTATTTATTCAAGACTCAGACTAGCCTTAAACATGTGCTAGAAATAGATGTAGGTATAATAAATAAATGACTAAATCAATACAATTCAGGCTTCATTGTCTCAGTACGCGATAGAAGGAAGACAAAATTTATCAGAATAACTTGTCTTTTGTCGCCAATCACAGGATACAGAATACATAGCCAATAATGTATAGCATACGCTATTAAGCTAGGCTAAAATTATACTATACTGATTCTATTCAGCTAGGCTAAAATTATACTCTACTGATTCTATTCAGCTAGGCTAAAATTATACTAAACTGATTCTAAGGAATTTCAGTTAATATAGCAGATTGCACTGTTCTTTAATCTTCTAATTTGATCCAGCTTATTATTATTTGCAGACTGTTATTATTACAGAAATTTTATGAAAATTAAAACTTGAACTTGTGATTATGTCGAAAAGAGTTTCTAATTTTGCAGTTGCAACAGGATCTACAAAGTGAAAGCATGTTTTGATGTCTATGAAACAAAAAGTGGAATTGCTGCAAAAAATGAATAAAAGTATATCCGCCTCAGAATTATGCAAGGAGTATGGCATTGAAAGTCAACTGTATATGACATAAGAAAAAAGGAACTTTTTGAATTTTTTGTGGATTCTGAAACCCCACTCACAATGAATAACAGAAAAATTTTTCATTATGCTAAAAGTGACGTTCATGACAAAGTGATGCTTGAATGAGTCAGACAGCGTCACAGCGAGGGTTTACCATTGATGGGTCCAATGCTAATGGCTCAAGCCAAAGTATTTCTTGAAGAAATGAACTTAAAAACTGAGTGCACATATTCAACAGGTTGGTCACGACTTCATAGTTTTAATTTTATGATTCTGCATGCCATCTTACTAGATTTAAATTGCTGATCTAATATCTGAAAAAACCCAAATCCAGATTCACTGAAGTCCCAACGAGTCCGGATCTTGGACTTTGTACTGTATGCTTTTATTTTGAAACATAATATTTTTCGAGAGAAGTGTTGTCATGCAATTTATTTTTTAAAGAATTAAGATTTATGTAACTTTTATTCAGTATTATCTGTAACATAGCTTGGGATATCAAAAACACATACATAAGTTTTAACTGTTAAAAGAGTAATACTCCTAGTGTCTTGAGGTTATTCTAGATATCCTGCTTTTTACATGTCTTTTCTGGGGGTGAATCTATCAGTTTATTCTGTTCAGTATAACCATGCCACACTTCTGATTTTTAATCCATTATTCATGAATTAGCATGGATGAACATGCGTACACATACAGGCTAAGTAATGCAAACTATAAAGTAGTAAATAGTAAAAACATAAAAAAGCCATTGTGAAGGCCAGTTTTAAGGACTTTGATTAAGCCGAGTTTTTTATCCAAATATGAAAAGTGAAAGGAAAAAAACTTCTTTTCTTGATTCCATAATTCTGATAAGTACTGCAATGAATTTAAAATATAAACTTGATTTTTGTGCATTTCTTAAAATTATATTCTTCAGTTTTTTTTTTTTTTTTTTTTTTTTTTTTTTTTTTATGATACATAGTTTTTTAAGTGGAATTTATGTACCAGCATCTTATTTAAAGTACAGTACATAATATGCAGTAAATATTTTGTTGTTTATCTTAATTTTTAAAACACCTGCTTTTTTCTTTTCTGAATGTTCCATGGTTTTTAATTCAACTTTAGAGCATATAAAAATGGAATTCACATTAGAAAAGTCAAATGAAAGGTAAAATTTTCCATTAAAATTACAAAAGTAATCATACCAGCTTGGAATATTAAAAGCCTACGTTTAAAATTATATGAGGTTTAAAAAAAGGTCAGAGGTAAAAACTGACAATATATTTTGTGGGCCTCAAACATTTGATCCGAGTATGAAATCCTGCTGAATGTGAAAGTTCGTGGAGATGTCATCAGTCAGTTCGGCAGAAGTTTAAAAGAACAGCTTGTTCTTTCTTTGGTTAAGAGGGATACAAATTACAAATATAGGATATAAAAAAAACTTAATACTTACTTATGTTTCTTCATATTACATGCCATTGTTTATCCATCTGAGGTGCATAGATGTAGCTACTGACAATAACATATATCTTCGCTTGTTTTGATGCCCGGATTTT